TCTTGCAGAGGGTCTTGAATGCACTTCTTAGACCAATTTTGTCTATGGTAGGTTCCGTACAACATCAATTGGCGAAATGGTTGGCTGAATCGCTTCAGTCAATCTTTGAACTGTATTCCATTTATTGTCTCCAACTCTGATTTGCCTTCTGAAAACAAGCTCATAGTGTCCTTTGATATTGTCACTTTGTACACAAATGTCCCCCTTCAGGATAACTTACAAATCTGCACTGACGTTCTTTATAGAGGTCACCTGGAACCCTCATTAATTTCTGGAAGTTTGTTTTGGAGTTTGTGCGTTCAGCAACTGTTATACCATAATACCTATTCTATTGTAAAAGACTCGCCCACAGATAATAAGTAGTAGTAGCAGTGGCCAGTTGGGCTCAGTGGAGTTGAGTGAGTCAGTCGATGTCGGACATTGAAGTATCAACCATCACAACTAGATTGCTGCGTCATTAACTTTTATTTCAAGTTCCTAACGTTTTGTACGTCGAACCTAATTTAGGACGACTTATTGAAATACAAGCCTCCACTGTGAAAACCACTCTACAACAGCAACAGAAGGAGTGAAATTTAGCTTTCATAATACGATGTATGCACATGCTTTCATGGTAATTGTTCTGATGAGATGATGTTTGCTATGGTACCTAGACTGTAGAAATTTAAGCGCAATACTCGGCCGACAGAAAGATCTCATCGATTTACAGTTGATCTAGCTAGATGTAGCCGGAACTTCTAAACTGACTGTTTCTTATCCGCACTTCTTGCTTGTGGAACTGCCTCCCGGTGACATGCTTTCCAACCAACTTTAATCTGCAAAAATTTAAATGCAATGTCAATAGCTATCTACTCTCCTCCTGATTGCTCTTTTCTTTCTCCTCATTATTAATGTTTCTGTTCTTAATTTCTCCACACCGTGTAACCCATTGGGTGCTAGTGGCTGTATTGCTTTACATCGGGTGATACTGAGTAAAAAAAAATGTAAGGTTAAATAAGTGTGTTTAATAAGTATGTGCAACTGGTGTAATGGATAGCGGCTCGGAATGTGTTCGAATTCCAGTTGGGTTCATTGTATTCACTTACGGTATTAACCCTAACCCTACCAATTAATGGATAAATAGTAGGGAAAAGGACAACTCTGAATTCAAAACCAGTTGGGCAGGAGGCTAGCAGTTCCCTGCCGTAAAACACCTACTTTTTGCTATGCCTATCGTTCTGGGATCTGTGGTCAGATAGTCACCAGGGAGTCTACGATATATGGGTGGGTGTTTAATAATAAAACCTACCTTTTTGTTAGCAATCGGTGCTAAATAAATGTGCTATCAATATCTTTTGATTTACCATTTCACACCTTCTAGAAATTCCATCAAATTTTAAACATGCAAAAGTTGTTTCTGAACATTATTTGCAACTTCTGCACAAATATATTTATTATTATTATTATTATTATTATTATTATTATTATTATTATTATTTATATAAGGGAGTAATATAACTCTATCAACAGTTTGTTGTTTGGTTATTGAAAGACTGATTTTGGGAGGTGAGTCGAGCAAAGAACTTTTCTACACCCCTCGTAATATTTCGTGAGGTCTGCAACAAATTCGTTCAATACAAAGTGGAGTTGTTTAACCCGGAGATTTTATTGTTTCTTTTTTTTTTTTTTTTGCTTTTAGCGGTGGGACAAAAGGTCGCTTCAGTATTATTGCGTTGCAAACTTTTTATATATATATATATATATATATATATATATATATATATATATATATATATATATATATATAAGAAAAAAGCGGAAAAACTATTCTTAGCTGACGCGTTTCGTCCTCTGAGAGACCTTATCAAGGCAAATCAGAAGAGGAAACGCGTCGGCTAAGAATAGTTTTTCCTCTTATCTTGTTTATTCATTTTGTTCCTTTACCGATACACTCTATCTGAAAATAATTTACAAGCACACACACACACACACATACATACATACATATATATATATATATATATATATATATATATATATATATATATATATATATATTAATAATGGATACTTATTTATTAATCCGACGGATTTTATCACTTGAAACATGTGGCAATTGATTCTCAATTTCTCGAGCGAACTGGGGCAACCACATGTTCCATCTCTCAAAAGGTTTGCAAAACACCTGCAGGGCTGAAGAGCTATGTTCATGTCCATAGAAGTTGAACACGTCTTTATTTTAATATATATATATATATATATATATATATATATATATATATATATAATTGGGATGGAAAGTTTTTAGTCAGCAGCACGGATTTGAAATTTGAAAAAATAATATCTGTATACTTCTGGTGAAACTAGGATATTTTGTCCTTTCTAGCTTTCCATAGAAATATATTTTCTCTGTCAACAAACTTTGCTTAGGTTTAATGCATTAATCAAGAAATTGCTTGAATATCTTAGATCAAGCATTATTCGTATTCATAATTTTTGACTGGTATTTCGTGCATCCTATTATGGTTGATTTTATCATAAGGTTCAACATTTTTACATTCTATATACATTAAAAATAAAATATTACCCTAAACGAGAATTGAACTTACACACCTTATCCGTGTTGAACATTTTGACCCTTCTTGGTTTCCATAGAACTGTATCTGTCCAGTTCGCAGATTCTGATGGGGGTTAGTACATTAATTAGGATGTTGTCTGAATGCCCTAAATAAAGCATTGTCATTATTATTAATTTTTGACTAGTTTATCTTCCATGCAAAGTTTCTTGCTTTTTTATCTCAGTGTTTCTGGTTTTTTCATTCAATGACTAGTAGCCAATCAGTATGGATTGGACATAAAGAAAAATGTCTTCTGATGAGAATTGAACTCTAATACTCTATCCTTGGGTAGTCTTTGGTATGATTCCAACCAAAGAGTAGTCCTGGGTGTGACGATAAAGTACATCCGGCAGCAAGGCGACTGATCGGTTGATTGGAGGTTTTGAGCGGCGTTTAACCGCCTCTTAATTGCTGTTGTTCCCATGTTTAAGTTCGGACAGCTGAACAATTCCGATTTTTACATCATACAATATTGTCTTCTGACAAATGAGGTTTGTTGAGTTATCGCCCTTGAAACTTCGACTACTGAAGTCGCTAGAGGGCGTGTTTTCACTTTTCTTTTCTTTTTCTTGTTTTTTGAGCTGCAGAACATAGTAGTGTCTGTAGGCCAATGGCTTCCAAACGGTGCGACGCGCCTCGAAATGCGGTGCGCCTCGAAAGTGCCTCGAAAGTGCGGCGAAAGAGGTTAGTAGGTGAGGCGGGATGATTGAAAGACAATCAAAGATTTAGAAAGAGTTTAAAAAAAAAATGAGTCCCATTATAAATAGTTATAAATAATTATTAACCGATTTTATCAACGGGACATTTTTGCAAGTATTAAGAATATAGTAAGTAGGGTCCGCAAATTGGAGGAGAGAGTTATCAATGATAATGTTCTGACTTCGAATCAACGGTTATCTCCCTCTAACCTTCTTTTTTTTTATTTTTAAATACAATTGGTGAGGCGCGTGCAAATTTTAATTCCGAGAATGCAGTCCTGAGAGAAAAAAAAGTTTGGGAACCACTGGTATAGGCAAACGATAAAGCTCAAAGACAAATAAAGGATTAACAAGTGAGTGGGTGAGATATAACAGTCACAGCTGGAATTATTTACAGAAATTAACAGCTACTATTAACATATTTGCTTACGACAGATATATCCCATTAAGACCAAATGGATTAAACATATCGCTTGATTATGAATGCATTTTAAAAGATACGTACATTTATTTCGCAGATGAATGGTACTGATTTGTAGAAAAATAATTTGGGTTCCATCAGCGAACACTTGAAAGAGATCAATCATTCAGTTTGGCGAAACATCTGCCTGTATATTTGTTTTCTATATTTATTTCTGCAATTCTAATTAAAAATCATGCTGATTTATGAACATATATGATTATATATATATATATATATATATATATATATATATATATATATATATATATATAAAACAAATTGGAAATTTATATCAATCTGACATGTTTCACTTTGATTAAAGCTTCATCAGAGACTGAGAGAAAAAAGACAAAGAGACAGAAACACTGGTATTTTCAATTATGTTTGGGTCAGTTCTCATTGGTCAGTCATGTATTATATACATTAAAACCATAGATAATTCCATGAGTATGTAGGTTTGTGAAGATTCTTGTATGTATAAGTAGGCATCGAATCTGCATTTGTAATTGTGTAGTGAAATATGTTAGATTGATATACGTTTCCTATCTGTTTCCGATCCATATTTGATCTGCATTTGATCTTTAACCCATATATATATATATATATATGTGTGTGTGTGTGTGTGTGTGCGTGAAGAAGCATATAAGAATATTAAAGGTAATCATATATATATATATATATATATATATATATATATATAGAAGCATATCTTCATTCAAGCATATTTCATCGAGTAATATAGACATATTGTGACACTATAGGAAAGGCGCTAGTAAATTGAAAAACACTAAAATCCGATAGACTGAAGATATACCGATGACCAGACAAGGGAAAAAGAAAGAAAGGATATTTCTTTTTTATTGAAAAATAAATAAATAAATAAAAAAACTAGAAGAAGGTAATTAAATTTCTGGTCCGCCGGACATGTAAAACAAAGAGACTATCTGGCTTCGATTAAGAACAAAGATTAAGTAATGATCTATTCTGGAGGTCCAAGGACCTCCCGGAAAGAAATAATATTTTTGCGACCACTGAGCAACGGAAAGAAAAAACAGACCCCAGGCTGCGAGTTCGGTCGATTGATAAGGAATAAAAGCAGACTGGTTCCGAAAGGAACATATGTGGAGGATGACAATTAAATTTTTCGTCTGTCGAAACGCGATAAAATTTCCCAAAGAAGGGATTGTTCCCTTCTTTCCACTTGTTGGCCAAAGGGTTGACGAGGGGATAAAAATGATAAAATCAAGATGCGAAAGCGACCACACACAAAAGCACGATGAGAAAGAATTTTGAACGATAATTCAAATCTGGCCGTTGGGCCAGACCGTGCCTGGCCTTTGGGGGACCGGTTTCTTTAGGTGACCAAAGAGAAAAAGGCCCAGGTTGAATTTCAGGGAAGGCGGAGGACTTTCCACGCCCCCTTGGGCAGTGATATTGAGAGGCACTCACACAAATCAAGAAGGAGGCTGGTTTGATCCGGTGACCAAAAGAAGGAGAAAGCTCAGGTAGAATTCCAAGGTGGGAGGAGTGGCTCCCCCATATTTGGACATTTGCAGGGAGAGCCCTTATTGGTTGTTTGGGGAACGCTGGTATACCCGGAGCACATCATGGTCTACCCCAGCCCTTGCGCATGGGTCCAAAAAACAGAAAGCCGAGTAGATGAAGATACAGACGGCGGAGACACCGCAGACAAGACTACGGCAGAGAGACTGGAGAGAGAGAGAGAGAGAGAGAGAGAGAGAGAGAGAGAGAGAGAGCAGAGAACCATCGCTTCGCCTGATCTCATGTGATTTGCCGCCCTGAAGAAAAAGCCTCCGATTTAAAGCCTTGTTCCAGAAGTCTATTTGCCAAAATCATAACAACAGTGTATCACGAGAATCGGGAAGGGTCGATAGTTATTGCAGGGAGAGTATAGCCTGCTTAAGCCATCAATGATTGTAATTTTCTATCGAGGAATTGCAAATAAATATTTTCTTTTTCTTTTTATTCAACTATTTTTTTTTTTGTCTTTCGGGCGACTTTATATTCTAACCGGACCGCAAACAAATCGATTTCAGTCGACCATTCCGGACCAGTTTTGCAATCTATTAATCACGACGTGGGTCGAGACAAGACTTGGTCCGAAGCGATCAACTCTACGATCAGCCGAGGGGATCAAACTTGAATATGGAGTGGCCGGTGTAGATGTCATAATATTATGTTTATTTATTTATTTTTATATAGTAATCCTTTCTAACTCTCTAATCAGTTTTTTGATATTAACATGAAATTCATCAAGGAAGCCGCTGTAGTTTTTTGTTAGCTAAATACTTATATATATTTATTTAGATTTCTCGACGGCGCAGATCGATGGATGTAATACACACGGTTTAAAAATTTAGAATAAAAACGAGGCGTTTATTTCAAATACGTGTTTATATGGTGGACTCTCTCGTCGCAATCGACAAATGAGGGCTCAGTATAATAAAGAGGTGCTCAATCTTTATGGACACGCATATTGCAAACTTTTAGACAGCTTGAACATGTGGTTGAGCCTTTGAGCTCCAGTGGTTGAGGATCAGTTGCCATATCTTTCCGCAAGGCCTACTTGACTGCGTGCGACAAAGCCAGAGCCGTAGGTAAGGCTATCACTGATAAGAGCAGAATGCTGCCAACTTGCTTTAATATTTGCACGCGGTTGATCCCGACGTTCAAGTCGGCCTCTCTGAAACCGTTGTATAGATTAGTAGCAGGAGAGGTGCCAGTTCATTCGCTCTGACGTTTTGTTTTTCTCTGGAAGAAAACCGGATGTTACATCACTTCAGATTGTCTTTGAGTTTGCCTTTGTAACGCAAGAGTAACCTTTCCAACTGACTTGCTTGTTTGAAGCTAGCCAAAGAGATGTTTCGGTATTATACTATCACTTGTACAGGAAAGATGTCCTGCCCACCTGATCTGGATTTTCATTAGGGTGACTTCAATACCCGTTATGTTGCATTCAGTCAGAAGTTCACTGTTTCTAATGCAGATTGTATATCGACAATGCATGTGGAAGGCACCAAGTTGATTGATGTGTCGTCGGTACATAGTTCAAGATTCTGCAACATAGAATCGTGATGTCAGTACTAATTTTGACGAAACATAATGGATATTCCAAAGCTTACCGAAGTTTACCGAAGGTAGAACTAGCCTTTCCAATTCTGCACTCAATTTCTTTGTCCATCTTTGGATACAATGGAGCCAAGGTAGGTGAAAGATGAAACGGTTTTCAAGACTCCCCCCCAACATAAACAGTGACATCAACAGCTTGAAGATAGTTACTGATAGCTTGATGGGCAAGTCCTGTTTTTTATATTGATGGCAAGACCAAAAAGCGTTTGATGCTTGAGATAATTTTTTAACGGACCAGTGCATATACTCAGGGGTATGGAATACAAGTGCACAGCCGTTTCCAAAGAGCAGGTCACGAATGGTTTGTGCACTCGTCTTAATTCTTGCATTGAAGTGTTGACTGTTGAACAATCTACCAATTATTAACTAAACTCAAGTCTCACACCTTTATTTTTTTTTAACATTCTCAAATGCTGTTTCCGGCATGACAGAAAAATCCGAAGCAAATAAGAGATTTGCAAAACACAACCTTGTTTTTTTCTAACTGAGGACAACATCCCCTGATAGAAAGACATGATGACACTGAGCACCCTCTCAGGAACACCCAGCTTCCTAATGACGACCCAAAGAGCGTCTCTTGAAACGGTATCAAAAACCTTAGTGAGATCAACAAAAGTAATAAATAAATCTTTGTCATCTTCTCATGCTTTCTCCTTTAGACTACATTCAACATTTTTCTCAGCTTGCACAATTAAAAAGCTTTTTCATTCATATATTCACAAAGTATCAATACCTGGGAATTAGTACTGCATCATAAATTCATAATCTTAAATAACGACTGCATGCTTACTGTAAAAGAGTTCAATGTTTTGATTAAATCTCAGTTTAATAATCTATGCATAGCCCTATACCTGGGTTCATATACAGTGTTAGTTAATAATCTATGCATAGCCCTATACCTGGGTTCATATACAGTGTTAGTTAATAATCTATGCATAGCCCTATACCTGGGTTCATATACAGTGTTAGTTAATAATCTATGCATAGCCCTATACCTGGGTTCATATACAGTGTTAGTTAATAATCTATGCACAGCCCTATACCTGCGTTCATATACAGTGTTAGTTAATAATCTATGCATAGCCCTATACCTGGGTTCATATACAGTGTTAGTTAATAATCTATGCACAGCCCTATACCTGGGTTCATATACAGTGTTAGTTAATAATCTATGCACAGCCCTATACCTGGGTTCATATACAGTGTTAGTTAATAATCTATGCATAGCCCTATACCTGGGTTCATATACAGTGTTAGTTAATAATCTATGCACAGCCCTATACCTGGGTTCATATACAGTGTTAGTTAATAATCTATGCACAGCCCTATACCTGGGTTCATATACAGTGTTAGTTAATAATCTATGCATAGCCCTATACCTGGGTTCATATACAGTGTTAGTTAATTATCTATGCATAGCCCTATACCTGGGTTCATATACAGTGTTAGTTAATAATCTATGCATAGCCCTATAACTGGGTTCATATACAGTGTTAGTTAATAATCTATGCATAACCCTATACCTGGGTTCATATACAGTGTTAGTTAATAATCTATGCACAGCCCTATACCTGGGTTCATATACAGTGTTAGTTAATAATCTATGCATAGCCCTATACCTGGGTTCATATACAGTGTTAGTTAATAATCTATGCATAGCCCTATACCTGGGTTCATATACAGTGTTAGTTAATAATCTATGCACAGCCCTATACCTGGGTTCATATACAGTGTTAGTTAATAATCTATGCACAGCCCTATACCTGGGTTCATATACAGTGTTAGTTAATTATCTATGCATAGCCCTATACCTGGTTCATATACAGTGTTAGTTAATAATCTATGCATAGCCCTATACCTGGGTTCATATACAGTGTTAGTTAATAATCTATGCATAGCCCTATACCTGGGTTCATATACAGTGTTAGTTAATAATCTATGCATAGCCCTATACCTGGGTTCATATACAGTGTTAGTTAATAATCTATGCATAGCCCTATACCTGGGTTCATATACAGTGTTAGTTAATAATCTATGCATAGCCCTATACCTGGGTTCATATACAGTGTTAGTTAATAATCTATGCATAGCCCTATACCTGGGTTCATATACAGTGTTAGTTAATAATCTATGCATAGCCCTATACCTGGGTTCATATACAGTGTTAGTTAATAATCTATGCACAGCCCTATACCTGGGTTCATATACAGTGTTAGTTAATAATCTACGCATAGCCCTATACCTGGGTTCATATACAGTGTTAGTTAATAATCTATGCATAGCCCTATACCTGGGTTCATATACAGTGTTAGTTAATAATCTATGCATAGCCCTATACCTGGGTTCATATACAGTGTTAGTTAATAATCTACGCATAGCCCTATACCTGGGTTCATATACAGTGTTAGTTAATAATCTACGCATAGCCCTATACCTGGGTTCATACACAGTGTTAGTTAATAATCTACGCATAGCCCTATACCTGGGTTCATATACAGTGTTAGTTAATAATCTACGCATAGCCCTCTACCTGGGTTCATACACAGTGTTAGTTAATAATCTACGCATAGCCCTATACCTGGGTTCATATACAGTGTTAGTTAATAATCTACGCATAGCCCTATACCTGGGTTCATACACAGTGTTAGTTAATAATCTACGCATAGCCCTATACCTGGGTTCATATACAGTGTTAGTTAATAATCTAGGCATAGCCCTATACCTGGGTTCATATACAGCGTTCGTTAACAATGTATCCAATCGTCATGTCATTGCTATTAATAGTATTAATGTCGATCCAAATGAATGTTACATGTTTTTTTTTTCTTTTTTCATATTTGGATTAATGTTTAAATCAAAATGTGTAGCTCATTGTAATAAATCAGATTTTTTAATTAGTGAAATTTGACGAAAAAAGAAATTTTGCAACAGAAAAGGAAATTTTTTAGACAAATACAAAGTCAGTTTTATAAAAAAAAAAAAATCTACTAGGAATAATGTGCTGTTCAGGAAGCGGTGTACTGGTACAAAAATTACACCAATGGATGGTGTTCACAATAAGACTGTTCCAGACCCCCAAAATCTGAAGAGAAATAAGAATTAGTTTCTTTGGTGTTGTAAAATGAACATCAAACGAGAACATTATTTGTTTTAGATAAGACAGCGGAATTGTTGCTTTTGTTTTGAAATGAACATCAAACCATAGGACGAGACCCCACCATTTTGTCGCTGTTGTGACAAAAAGAAGAGAGAGAGAGAGAAAAGGAGGGAGAGAGAGAGGGGGAGAGAGAGAGGGAGAGAGGGGGAGAGAGAAGGGGAGGGAGAGAGAGAGGGTGAAGGGGAGAGAGAGGGAGAGAGAGAGGGAGAGAGAGAGGGAGAGAGGGGGTGAAAGGAGAATAAAGAAATGCTATCAACGCTAGAGTTTTATAACAATAAAAATATTTATTTAATTTCAAAAGTAAAAATATATTAAAATTAAACATCCAAAACAATGTTGATTCAGCCTATGGGAATTTTAGGAATTAAATCAAACCAGAGAAAAAAATAAAAGATAAAAAGATAATATCGTCTCCGACAGCAAGTCAACACTAGTCTTGGTCACAAATATTAAAAGAAAGAAATGAGAGTGTTTGCTAGGACTTGACAAAGTCTGTTCGTCGGACGTCAGGGTCAGTTTTTTTTCCGTGATAGCGAAAATGTCTCCAAATGAACTGAACTGGCGAGACAAACCAGTCCTCTCATTTACAGAGGTGGACAGCCTATTTGAAGAAAGTCCTCGCAATTTCCGGTGTCTTCTCAGTCAAAAGGGGATATTTCCACACTTTTTTTTATTCGAGAACCAACTAAAATAAAATGAATATTTCTATTATGACATACTGTTGTAATGAAATGTCCCATATTCCCTATTGTCTATGTGGAGTAACTATATCTGTAGTTATATATAGGGGGTGGGGGCTTGCTTTGGGAATTACTAGCCTGTCACCTGATTCCCTGTCTTTCAGTAGTGTATTCTCTTTTACAATAAACCTCTCTTCTTTCATCTACGCGCGTGTTGCTGTTCCTTCACTCGAGTACCACCTTTGTCTGTTTGTAACCGCTTTAAGGATACGACACATACATTTTCACCAATCGCAATACCCGTGGCTTTTAGTAATTTCTATTTTTAGTATTTCCTAGAAAAGAGCTTCTGTAACACAAGTTACTTAACATCCTTCCTGGAAGAAGATCTCACAATTACATAGTCGATGAGACGATAGTACTTGGATCGGGGATGCCTTCAGCTAATTTCGTAACGTTCAGGAAGCTGGAAGGTGGTTTTGGTAATCAAAAGTCCATGCTTACTACAAAGGAATAACAGTAAATGACTATTTGAGTTGGCCTTGCCAACACCCTGTTTACACTATTACATTACACAACACCATACTTACATTATTACATTACACAACACCATGCTTACATTATTACATTATCCGTCATAAATCCATTATATATATATATATATATATATATATTACATATAATGGAATATGCAATCCATTATAACAATATATATATATATATATATATATATATATATATATATAAATGGAATATGCATACACCTGTGTCCCCCTCACTGGAATATGATTACATTACAAATACAATACTTATATTTTATTACATTACAACACAATACTTACATTATTACATGGTCCAATCATAAATACATTATATCAATATTAAATACATTATTATTACATTATTACATTACACAACACCATACTTACATTATTACATTACACAACACATTATACAATTACATTTATAACATTACACACACCATACTTACATTATTACATTACACAACACCATACTTACATTATTACATTACACAACACACACATTATTACTTACATTAAACACACTTATATTTACATTATTTACATTACACAACACCATACAACACAATACTTACATTATTACATTACACAACAATACAATTACATTACACAATACCATACTTACATTATTACATTACAACACAATACTTACATTATTACATTACACAACACAATACTTACATTATTACATTACACAACACAATACTTACATTATTACATTACACAACACAATACTTACATTATTACATTACACAACACAATACTTACATTATTACATTACACAACACAATACTTACATTATTACATTACACAACACCATACTTACATTATTACATTACACAACACCATACTTACACTATGCTTACATTATTACATTACATTATTTACATTATACACATTACACAACACAATACTTACATTATTACATTACACAACACAATACTTACATTATTACTTATTACATTACACAACACAATACTTACATTATTACATTACACAACACAATACTTACATTATTACATTACACAACACATTACTTACATTATTACATTACATTAACATTACATAAATATACTTACATTATTACATTACACAACACCATACTTACATTATTACATTACACAACACCATACTTACATTATTACATTTACACAACACCATACTTACATTACATTACATAACACACTTATTTATTATATTATACAACTTACATTATTACATTACACAACACAATACTTACATTATTACATTACACAACACAATATTACATTTATTAATACTCTTATTTATTACATTACAAACACCATACTTACATTATTTTACATTATTACATTACATTACACCATACTTACATTATTACATTACACAAACACCATACTTACATTATTATTACATTACACAATTACACAATACTTACATTATTACATTACATTACAAACAAATACTTACATTATTACATTACACAACACATTACACAACACCATGCTTATATTATTACATTACACAACATAATACTTACATTATTACATTACACAACAACACATACTTACATTATTACATTACACAACACAATACTTACATTATTACATTACACAACATAATTATTACATTATAAATACTTACATTATTATTACATTACACAACATTACCATACTTACATTATTACATTACACAACATTAATACTTACATTATTACATTACTTACAACACAATACTTACATTATTACATTACACAACACAATACTTACATTATTACATTACACAAACACAATACTTACATTATTACATTACACAACACAATACTTACATTATTACATTACACAACACAACACAATACTTACATTATTACATTACATTTACATTATTACATTACACAATACTTACATTATTACATTACACAACACAATACTTACATTATTATTTACATTACACAACATACTTACATTTATTACATTACACAACACAATACTTACATTATTACATTACACAAATTACATTATACAACACATTATTACATTATTACAACACAATACTTACATTATTACATTACACAACACAATACTTACATTATTACATTTACACAACACAATACTTACATTATTACATTACACAACACCATACTTACATTATTACATTACACAACACCAATATTACATTACATTATTACATTACACAACACAATACTTACATTATTACATTACACAATACTTACATTATTACACACAACACCATACTTACATTATTACATTACACAACACCATACTTACATTACATTATTACATTATTACATTACAACACAATACTTACATTATTACATTACACAACACAATACTTACATTATTACATTACACAACACTTAATTATACTTACATTATTACATTAAATAACATCATACTTACACAACACAACACATTACACTTACATTATTACATTACACAACACAATACTTACATTATTACATTACACAACACCATACTTATTACATTATATATTACATTACACAACACCATACTTACATTATTACATTTACATTACATTATTACATTATACATTTACATTATTACATTACACAACACCATGCTTACATTATTACATTACACAACACAATACTTACATTATTACATTACACAATTACACAAACACCATACTTACATTATTACATTACACAACACCATACTTACATTATTACATTACACAACAATTATACACATTACATACTTACATTATTACATTACACAACACCATTACTTACATTATTATTACATTAACACATACTTACATTATTACATTACACAACACCATATTACATTACACAACACAATACTTACATTATTACATTACACAACACAATACTTACATTATTACATTACACAACACACATACTTACATTATTACATTACACAACACAATACTTACATTATTACATTACACAATTACACCATACTTACATTATTACATTTACAACACCATACTTACATTATTACATTACATTACATTATACCAACACAATTACATTTATTACATTACACAACATTAACATTACACAACACCATTACATTATTACATTACACAACACCATGCTTACATTATTACATTACACAACACCATACTTACATTATTACATTACACAACACCATACTTACATTATTACATTACACAACACCATACTTACATTATTACATTACACAACACCATACTTACATTATTACATTACACAACACAATACTTACATTATTACATTACACAACACAATACTTACATTATTACATTACACAACACAATACTTACATTATTACATTACACAACACAACACTATACTTACATATTACTTACATTATTACATTACACAACACCATACTTACATTATTACATTACACAACACCATGCTTACATTATTACATTACACAACACCATACTTACATTATTACATTACATTATTAACACCATACTTACATTATTACATTACACAACACTATTTATTACTTACATTACACAACACCATACCATTATTACATTATTACAACATACATTATTACATTACACAATTACACCATACTTACATTATTACATTACACAACACCATGCTTACAAAAATTTTTTTAGGATAGGTTCGTATGTAAATCAGTTTGTAAATCTGGTTTCACTGAGGCATTTTTGTAAAGTGTCTTTTTGTCGAGAATCAAATGTTTTGCTGGTAATTTTTTTCAAAAATGTTTTGCTGGAATTTTTATTATAAAAATCTGTTTACATACTTTCATAGTGTTTTGACACCAGTTTGCCCATAGCTGGGACCCTGATAGATGATACTACACAGGGTCAGGGCGGACCTAGAAACAAGAGCAATTAAGAGGTGGCTTCAGGCTCCTCAAACATGTAGTATTTAGTTTATAGTCATACCCAAGACGCTTATCTTTAAATATAGACAGTTACTACCTCTATAATTTATCATTCAAATCGTACTTGACAACATTTACCGATAATTTTTCTTTTGTTCTTTTCTTATCTATTGATTGTTTGCTATTATTTATCATGTAAACATAAATTATATGTAAATGATTATTATTTTACTGGATTGGTAGGCCTGAGACAGCTAAGAGAGAGGCAGGAGTTAGGTATACTATTTGGAATGACCTTGTGAAACATCTGGAATCTCTACCTGTTGGCATCAATAAGATTTATGCCCTTTTGTATTAGCATTGGCAGAAATAATTATGCAACCATCTTTAGTTTCTATGCCCTAAGCATGAAGTCTAGTGACGAAATTAAGAAGAATTTCTACTCTGAATTACCAAACCAGTTGAGTACTTCCTTTTACAACAAACATCTTCTCCTGGGAAGATTTCAGTGCCCGCGTTGGTTGCGATAAATCAGTATGCAAGATATAATAAACTAAGTAAACCCGAGTGTGGTTTTCAATAATAATTTTATAATCGGATGTAGGTATGTCAAAATACAGAGACAGAGTCAGGAGTAAGCTAACCGCTATGGTGTTAATAAACGAAGACCTTTTTTCTACTGTTTACTGTGGTCGTACTTTATCGGCAACCAGTCCGTCCATTATCGTGAATGGGGAAGTTGGGTTATCTCATCACAACAATTACATTACACAACACCATACTTACACTATTACATACTGATTTATCGTAACCTACACGTGCATTGAAATCGCTCCGGAGAAGATGTTGTTAAGAACGATTTGAATGATAAATTATAGAGGAAGTAACTGTCTATACTTAAAGATAAGCGTGCTGGGTATGTCTATAAACTAAATACTACAGCCTGTAACCTCCTCTTAATTGCTCTTGTTTCTAGGTCCGCCCTGACCCTGTGTAGTATCATCTATCAGGGTCCCAGCTATGGGGGCAAACTGATGTCAAAACACAATGAAAGTATAAAAACAGAGTTTTATAATAAAAATTCCAGTAGCATATTTTTGAAAAAAAAATTACCAGCAAAACATTTGATTCTCGACAAAAAGCCACTTTACAAAAATGCCTCAATGAAACCAGATTTACAAACTGATTTACATACGAACCTATCCTAAAAATTTTTGTAAGCCTGGTGTTGTGTAATGTATTAGTGTAAGCATGGTATTGTGTAATGTAATAATGTAAGCTGGTGTCCGTCATAAATCCATTATATCAATATATATATATATATATATATATATATATATATATATATATTGATATAATGGAATATGCATATACCTGTGTTCCCCCTCACTGGAAAATGATTTTGCGGGTGTCCGTCATAAATCCATTAAATAAATAAATATATATATATATATTGATATAATGGAATATACATACACCTGTGTTCCCTCTCACTGGAATATGATTGGCTGGTGTCCGTCATAAATACCGACGGACGTGTAGGAGAGTCAGAGCCTTAGTCTGAGATCTAAGTCTATAACGACGCCCATTGAACTACGCCATTGATCTACACTTCTTACCTGCGACTACGGCACGTAACAATCGATTACTGCTACGTATTCTACTTAGTTATAGTAGCCAAAACCACTTAGCTACTTCGTTCAAATATATCCCTTTCCGGGACATATCATATATATATATATATATATATATATATATATATATATATATATATACGATAAAGAACAAGTAGGAGAACAGATCTTAATCAAACATGTTTTACTTTATTAAAGCTTCGTCTGAGATCAAGATAGAAATGATAAAATTGATAAAAAGCAAAGAAAAGCAAATTAATGGTATGTTGTGTTCGGCTATTTCTTATTGGTCAGATACGTATCACGTGTAATGAAGTAACAGATAATATATTCAAATATGTGTGACAAATATTCTTAACGCTAAAGTGTGTAAATGTGAGATGCATTTTTGATTGGATACGTGTCATGTGTAATGACGTCACAGATAATATTCAAATAAGTGTAAGAAAACATTCTGGATGCTAAAGTCTGTAAAAGTTTGTGAGACGCTACAGGATGTTTTTTCTTTGGTTAGATTATTCATTAAAGTACATCTCGTGCTTGTTTTGTATATATATTGATTTTTATATATTAAGAAATGGACAAAGTCCGACAATTTATTTATTAAAGACATTTTTTATGTTTAACGTTCTTTTTTTTTATAGATACAAGTATTTAAGTAAATGCTCTGTTTATAATAAACAGTATTAAATAACATTTACCGGCCTGAATTAAAATTTCTCGGACATTCAGGCCGGTAAATGTTATTTAATACTGTTTATTATAAACAGAGCATTTACTTAAATACTTGTATCTATAAAAAAAAGAACGTTAAACATAAAAAATGTCTTTAATAAATAAATTGATTTTTATGTATTCGGAAGAGGTAAGTCAGATTTATGAATAATGTATCTGTAGAAAAGTGGTGTTGTAATGTAGTTTTTTAAACGTATGTTAATAGTTGGAAGTATTGCTATAAATATGTTTTCATAATATTTTCTCTCTGAAGGGTAATGTTCTTTTTCAATAAGGATAGCGGTGGTGAAATTAAGTTATGTCCTACGTTGTTGCAGTGTAAAACGAGCGAATTTGAATGTTTTTCTAAACGCAAATCTCTTTTGCGTTCCTGGATGCGGGTCTTTATATAAGCATTTTTTATTTATGACTTGAGTATGGGATCAGTTTAAAATTAATTTACATAGCAAACTGAACCCCCACTTAAAATTTCACGATCACAAGGATCGTAGGGGCACCTCAAGTACTGCAGCCGTAGCAACAGTGTTGTGCCTTATGCAAGATAGCCTGACGGTCCAGCCGTCTTCAGGTTGGTGTGAATTTAGGGTTTTTTTTTTCTCCTGTACTGGTTGCCAACAAAAGCTATAGGGCCCTTTCCCAAAGGTATTTTCACGTTATTGAATGTAACAAACTCGACTAGAATTCGAACTTGGGTCTCTGAGTTTTCGCTCCGAGTCGATATCCATTACCCCTCCTCTTTTGAAAATTAAAAAAAAAAAAGAAAGGACAAAACATTGATATTTCTGATTTGATCTCAAGGAATTTAAAAGGAATATGAAAAAAAAAATCTTGCAGAGATGCGTTTCTGTTGAATCGCCAGTTCATCTTTACTGAGAATTTTGTGCCGACCCTGTAAACGATTTTGTATAAAGCTTTCTTTTTTTTTTTTTAATTCCCAAAATGTTTGTGAACAGCGTTTGATACTAATTTCAGAAGACAGTTAATGTTTTAAGGTTAAAAATATCGGTCAGAGGTTTACAATAAATAAATAAAATGAACAAAACAGTTTAAGAAAGAACAGAAAACGGTTTGTCAACTGATCTTCTTTGAGCAGCCATGTTTGACGTTGGCAGTATTTGCCGTCCGCCAGATTAGCTGTTTAATTTACGACCTTGCAATTTGGTCGTGCTGACTTGCGTTAAAAAATGATTGAAAAGTAAATAACGAAAAAACACTAACTTCTTTTAATCTTTATTTTCTTCTCTTCCTCAAACAAAGTGTGAATTTCCTGTCTACAAATAAACCTTGACCCACGGATTAAGTCATGTTTACTCCGTGGCAGTCTTACAGCATTTACTCACACAGAAGGTAGCACACACTAACACAGACATTAGAATCGGTTCAACAGCTCGTGTAAAAAAATAAAAAAGAAATAGTAACGACCCGGTTGGGGTTTAAATTATATAAAGTGTGGTACATTATTTTAAAATATCCCTTTTCTACCTTAAATAGAAAAAAATGTGTTCCGTCTTGGTCCTCGTGTTCAAATAAAAAAAGACTAAGTCAATTTCTACAATAAAGGATTTGCTGCTCAGTGCAGGTTTAGCGCAATGCTTGTAGAAGCAAGCAGGCGTCTTAATTTATGAGGTCAAGTCAGCCAAAGGCTATGTTATAAAGTTTTTACAAGTCTTTCTTTAAGCTTATTTTATTTTTGTTTTATGGCATTTTTATTGTTTTTTTTTTACATTCTGCGACCATGTAGTAAGCTGTATGGATGAAAAATCCGCAGTGTGCGTAATGTATTTTGATGACATGTGATTATGCGCCTACAGTGACATGGTAATCAATTAATGAGCTTTCATCTTTTCAGAGTATTAATGGCCAATTACCGACTAAATCTTGGCTCTGCACTTTGGTAAATTTGCATAAGAAATCTACCAAGGGTAAGGAAAGTTATAAAACCCAAACTGTTTAGTGCAGAAAGTTTTAGCGTCCAAATTTTGAGAAAAAACATGTAAATACATATATAAATTAATCCATTTATACTCACCGTCGTATGTTGGGGGATGGCGGCCATTCGTGTATTATACAGTGTTCTTAAGGTATTTGAGGAGATGTGATTGTTTGCCATCAGTCATGTGGTTATCAATTAGTATGCATTTATCTTTTCAGAGTATTAATGGTCAACTACCGACTAACACATAAGATAGAACGACATGTAATTGTTGTGATGCGCCCAAAGGACGGCGATGTTGAGATTGCAGGTTTTTTAGCGGGTTATAGAGGGATTTTTGCCAGGTCGTTTGTGTTCACATAGTTCGAAAGGAGTTGTATGTGTCACATGTAGAAGAAGCACTAAAATCATTCACAGCGTTCGGACAGTCACATGGCCCAACCATTCGGACCAGCGAGTGCTGACCATTGTCGATGCGAATCCCGTAACGTCAACGAGGGTCTGCAGGTGACCGAGGGCAAAATCCGCAACGTGGTGCATGAGGCCATCATCCGCGATGATGAGGAAAAGTCAGTTCATGTCGGCACACACACAAGAACAAAGGTTGCTTCAAGCAAAAACGATTACTGAACAAATTCAAACACCCAGAAGAACCTGGTACTCTTATTTTTTTTAACTAACGACATTTTTACTTTTGTTTATAAAGACTTGTTGCAAAATAAGATCTTTACATTCACCTTAATAAAGTCCATCAAAGGATGAAATGCGTCAGCTAAGGTAAGTTTTCCTTTAATCTTTATTCATTCATATATATATATATATGTGTGTGTGAATAAAGATATATATATATATATATATATATATATATATTTGGTTGGATAGATGTGAGTTTGTGACCCTGGGTTTCACGCTTTAGCGATCGTCAGACAAACTGATTAATGTTTTAAAAAATATGTTAGCTCTATCTCTGATATTGAGCGCTTTCTAATAAGTACCGCGCATATA